GGGAGGGTACCCTGGCACCTAGTGGGTAGAGGACAGGGATGTTGCCAAATATCCTGTGTGGAAGTCAGCCCCCACAACAAAGAATTATCCAGCCTGAAATGTCAATATGCCAAGGTTGAAAAAAATCCTGATATAGAGGAAGGAGTCTCCTATACATCTCAATATATATGAAGACTCACTGTACTAGCTAGCACTCAGTATAAGAATGAATGTTCAGAAGTCTTAAACAAAAACCTAGTATGTTAATGGCATATTTTAATAGAGGATGATAAACTATAACATTTCCAACAGAAATGATTTATTTTTTAAAAATTATTGATATAATGGAACAAACTGTAATAATTAGGCATGGCCACCCACATGGAATACCTCCTCCTAATTTCCCTTCCCTGAACCTAATCTGGCCTTAGTGATTTTGCTTGACTAATAGCATGCAGCAGAAATGACATTAGGACTTCCAGGGCTAGGTCATAACAGGTCTGTGTTAGGCTGAACAGTGGCCATCAGTATATGTCCACATCCTAATCCTCCAACCTGTGAATATGTTACGTTATATAGAGAGTTTGTAGGTCTGATTAAATTAAGGATTTCAACAAAGATTATCCTGGAATTTCCCATAGACCTTAAATGTACTCATGAGGAGGATCCTTTTAAGAGGACGGCAAAGTCAATGAAGAAGATGTGACAACCAAAGTAGGGATTAGAGTGATGTGGCCAGGAACCAAGGAATGCCAAAAGCTGGAAGACACAAGGAACAGATTCTCCCATGGACATTCCAGAAGGACAGAGCCTTGCTGATACTTTTATTTTAGCCCCTTAAGTCTCATTTTGGACTTAAGACCTCCAGAACACTAAATGAATAAAATTGTATTATTTTAAGCCACTAATTTGTTATAGAAAATATTAATATATTTGTTAATATAAATGTTAATATAAAACTATTAATTATCATCCTGAGATTATTACCTTAAGTACATATTTAGCAAAAACATTTCAAAAGAAGTTCCTTTTTTCAAATCACATCTTTCATTGTGCCCTCCTGAAAGCCAGCTCTCATCTTTCTGTGTAATTCTCCAATGAACATTAATTACAACACCTTAAATAAGTGTAGAAGGCAGGCTCCAAGATGGCCCCCAATGATTTCAACCTCCTGTTATTCACACTTTGTATATAGTATCCTCCCATAATATACCAGGGCAAAAGAGATGGACTATTTCTTCTATGATTGAGTTATAAAAGACTCTGGCTTCTAGCCTAGGCTTTCTCTCTCATCCCTTATTCTGGAGGAAGTCAGCTGCCATGTCTTGGGAACACTTAGGCAGCCCTGAGGAAAGGCCCACATGGCAAGGAATTGACTCTTCCAGCCAACAGCCATGTGAGTAAGCCTTCTTGGAAATGGATCCTCCAGCCCCAGTCAAGACTTCAGATGATGCAGTCCCAACTGAAAGCTTAACTACAACTTCATAAGATACCCTGAGCTAGAAATACACCAAGTGGCTCTAGGATTCCTGATCCTCAGAAACTGAGATAATATGTTTGTTTAAGTAACTGTGTTTTGGGGGTAATTTGTTATACAGCAAAGTATAACTAACACAGTGAGCATTGCCCATCCCTCAAAAACCAGACTGATATATTTTTAAAGCCTTTTTTAATTTAAATAGAAATAGAAATTACAAATATTGGGAGAAAATATTGTCTTAAAAATCTTGGCTAAAATTGGAAGGGAACTGTAATAATATCGAATTGACAGCTCTATACTTGTAAAAACAATGACCCAACAATGTACTATCAGGAGAATATGGACTGTTTCTAGAAGAAGAGACATCAGGTTGAGTAGGTAAGCTGAGAAAGCATCAACTTTTTTAAAATTGGGGAAGAAATCAGTTTGTAGTTTTAAAAAATCAGAATATCCTACATAACTATGATGAGACATACCACAAAGTCTGCCTTATCTATCACAATTGATTCTAAAGCTTTATCTTGTCACAGAGTGTATCACATGCCTACCAGTAAAGATAAAGGCAGATAATATCAAATTTCAGCAGATTTCACTGCCATATCAAAGCATGGGTGATTTTTTTTTTCTTGTAATGTTCCATACCAAATCCAAAACACTTCCTTGGATCATACAAGCATTCTTTCCAAGAACACGTAAGATTTCCTATAAGAAACAGCCTTTTTAACAGAATTTATTTCATTAGAAAGTGCACTTAGTACACATACATTTAGCACATGAATTGGTTATTTTAAAATATTTAAAAAGCAACAATCAAAGGAAAACAGAAATTTTTCATTTATCTGATTTGGGAAAATGTTGATTTCAGCAATGGAATGAGCTGTATGCATTCTCAACATAGTAAAATACTGTATCTTAAACGACGAATGAGTAAGATGATTCACTAGTGATGATTCCAACTACAGGTCTCCCCCACTATTTGAAGGCACAGTATTGCTATGAAACCTTTCCTAAGTTGGAATGGTGTAAAGTGAAGAAGCAAGTATCATTAATTTATATAGAAAAAATTTTGAGCATTCTTAGACCCCCAAAATAAACCCTCAGGCTTTTCTGATATCTTTGGACACATCTTAACAGATATACAAAATAAATGGAAATAAAGCACAGATGCTCACAGATGGAGTCCAAAGCTATGGTAGCCTAATGCTGACATACTGAGTGTAGTTCCTGGGGAAGGAATTTGGCGGTGCCACTCTGCTTGCTGCTCAGTGTGTGCTGCCTCTACAAGGGCTTACAGCAAAACAAAGGCTGAATATTATTTTCACTTTCTGCCTTCTTTTGTAAAAAGTAAAAGTGAAAATCCTGAAAGATAATTCTTTCAGCTAGTGAAAAGAGATACTTATGTAACAGGTACATCTTTCATAAAAGCAAAGAAGCAGAGTGTGAAATACGGAGAAGTGGGGACATAGCTGTATTTTCATAGGAACTGCATGTACTGATTTGTAACACATTAGGAAACACTAAGACTATACTAAAAATTAAAGCAGCAGCATCAATAAGTATCATTGTGTCAAAGATCAGTAACTTAGTCATCAATACTGGCAAATATGGTTGATTTAAACTTTTAGGTTATTTCATTTATCAATAGAAGATAAGCATTTGACTACCACATTGTTTCCTATATTATTGCCTGTTTACATTGAACAAAGAAGACAACTTGAAATGCCTCTCTCCTATACCTTACATACTTATTAAATTTAGTTAATGCTAACTAATCTCCACTGATTGAAGTTTATAGGTCCTTTCCAGAATATTTAAAACCACATTAAATTTTAAAATATTACCTTCATTGGAAAATACAGCATCCCTACTGCAATACTACTGGCACATGCTAAGTATGAGGTGAAATTCATCCAGTTGTATCACAGGACATGGTTTTCAAGAACTATCATAAAATTACATTAATAGAGCCTTCCAAATATGTAACAATGTTAATGCAGAATTTCCGAGAAACTACTTAGAAAAGGCCAAATGTGTGTTCGAATAGTCTTGCCCATAGAGTTTTCTCAAATTAATGCAATATGACTGTATATTGTTTTCCAAGGGGTACATTTTCAGAAACGAATGTTTTAAAACCACATACTGAGCACACCATAGCTTACAAATATGCATGTATTCGATTATGGCTTCATAAAACATCATGATTACACATTTCACTAACTGAATTGATTTTTTTTTTTTTTTTGTAAAAGCACTGTGGGTAGACAATGTCTGGAATCACCACTACTATAAACTGGTCCACAATTCCCTGAACTGAGGGGAAAAAAAGCAGTTACAAGGCACAACTATTAAAAAGTTTCTGAAGAAGTAGTACAGATAAGTCGTTATTACGTGGCTTTCCAACATTCCCACACATAGGCCAAAGAAACACTTGCAAGTGCCTCTGGCAAATCAAATGCCGTGTTCCAAATCAATGTGCTCTAACTTTAGGAACCTATGGATTGTTTATGTACCTACCAACATGGGGGTGGGGGAAAGTAAACTTTAAAAAACTTCCAAACACATCAGAATGTAATACAAAATAGCAGCAAAGTGTTTTCTCTGTAATTACTTGATTTAAATGGCAAAAATGTTTTAAGACTGAATGATTTAATAATTTGTTCCTTTCATCCTTTTGATTTTATGGATTTTTAGCTTTTTCACCTGGACTCAAATCCTGACCTACCAGCATTCTGCACTGATTTTTAAAATGTCCTACTTTAACATTTTAGCTTAAAAATAGCTTTGCTTTCACCATTCCAAACTGCTTTTGAGCAGAAGTCTGTTTTTTATTGCAGAGCCACAGATTCCTAGAAAAATGCCTTATTTTCTTCATTCTTTCAACCCCTGGGGAAACCACAAAAACTGGAATTTAACTTGTGCGGCACCAAACCTATATGGGCTTACAAGTAAGTATCTGCAATTGCTGGTTTGGCCTAATCTTTCCATTTCCCAGAAAAATGCTTCTTTCGGTAGCTTTAATCTACTACAACTTGATGCGTGTGCAAACAAGGGTGTTGAGAGCATCTCTGCCTTAGGAAGCAACACCCCTTCTTTTGGACACCCATACATCTTAGTTCGATAACCATTCAAAAAAGTTTCTTCCTGTCTCTCGGGTTTGTAGCACTTTGGGAGGAGGCACGGGATGCCACCTGCATGGCTGCGCGTTCACGAGAAAGCAACAAGGGCGTAGGGAAAGGAGAGCTGGGGAGGGAAAGCACACAGCAAATCAAAACTATCGGTCGCTAATTTGGACTGAAGCTCCGGCTTCTAAGGCTGGGGAGGAACCAGCCAAGCGTTGGCCAGGCTGCACGGCACTATCCGCGCGTGTCCTACCTGCCCAAGGGACGCTCAGGAGGCGCAAAGTTCCACCCTCCGATGTCCCAGGCAAGGGCCCGACGGGCGCGGGGAGCCCAAGGCGGGGGTCCCAGGTCGAGGGGCGGAAAGGCTCCCGGGGGACAGGCGTGGGGGCAGGGCGCCGGGCCCCCGAGCTCGACCCCCTTACCTTGGGCGATGGCAATGGACTCGAAGCGGTGCAGCTCCTTGAGCAGGCAGCTCCTCTCGGTGGAGTGCAGGCTGTAGATGAAGTCCCGCGCGCCCTGCGCCGTGTTCAGCGCCTCCATGGGCTCCTTCTTAGGGTGGGTGCCCAGTCCCCGGGGGCCGCCCGGGGCCGCGAGCACCAGCAGCCCCCGCCCGCAGCAGCACCAGGAAGGCGGGCGGGGTGCGGCGGCGGCGGCGGCGGCGGCGGCCGGGCCCTGCCTCAGGCTGCCCGCGGTCCAGCTCCTCAGCAGAGGGAGCAGCCGGGACATGGCGGGCGGAGGAGCGGGGACCCTCCGGCAGTCCGGCGGGCAGTTTCTGGCGACACTGAGCGAAGAAGGAGCTAGGCTCAGCCCGACCCCACCCCGATGTCCTCCTGACAGGCGACCGAGGCGCCGGGCACCATGCACTCCCCGCGCCCGCGCGGCTGCCACCTCCTCTTCGGTTCCCCTTTCCTTCCAAAACACCCGCGGCGGCTTCGGTCCCTCTGACGAGCAAAACTTTCTCGGAGACCAGGAGAGCTCCCGGAGAGGGCGGGCGGGCGCCTCCCGGCTGAGGAGAGCGGCGCGGGCGGGCGGGTTCGGCAAGGGTTTGTGTCTGTCAGTCTGATTTCCAGAGGGATGAGTCAGCCACGCGCCACCTCCTCCGGCGCCGCCCTCCTCACCCGCCGGCTTTCCCACCCTCTTGCTAGCTCTCGTCCCCTCTCCGCACTGCTCCGGAGCCCTCAAACAGGCCGCTCTCTTCGGCCGCCGCCGCCGCCGCCGCCCCTGGCGGTGGTATAAGGGATACCAGGGAGGGACGAGGGGAAGAGGCGGGGGCGAGGGGAAGGGGCGGGGCCGCGCAGGCGCGTTGCGCAGGCTCGCGGACCGCGCTCCTACTTGCACGGGGATCTGGTCTTACACATCCCCACCCAGTGCTTGAAGGTGGAGGGAGGTGGTGCGCTTGCGTTCCGTTGGCGTGTGCCGCCTTTAAGTCCCGCGATGGGAACAGGGAGGAAGAGCTTTGGACCCCGCCGGGCCGGGTAGTGCAGCTGCCACCCAGCCCTCCCTAGCGCCATGCCTAAATCCGGGCTGACTCGCTCTGAACGCTGCCCGGCCCTGCGGCCCCCCTCGCCGGGCACTGGCCAGCCGGAGATCAGCCAGGCCACTCCGGAGAGCCACGCTACCGCTCCGAACCTCGCGGGATCACAGCGCCCTACTCAGGCTTTTGGGGACTGAGACGCCCAGGCGGTACCCTTTGCCAAGTCAGCGCCCACCTTGGCCTCAGCTAGGCACTCTGGTCTCGGAGGCACCGGCTCTGGGAGCTCCAGAGAGGGCGAGGCCAGTTCTACTCCTTCCCAAAAAGGGTTTGAGACCGAGACATTGATGCTGAGAACACTGTTCCTCGTTCTGATGCCAGCAGCTTGCACGTGGTTAATGCTGGAATAGGAGGCAGGAATGTCACATCCCTTTTCTGGGTGCTCCTCAAGGTTTGTTTGTTTGTTTTTCTCTATGCCAAGGCGGAAAGAATTTGCGGTTTTCCACCATTTCCAAGTGTCCAGGTCCTGGGCATCTTTCAAGGCATAGCTCAAAGTGTCTCCTACTCCAAGCTTTCTTTTATTTCTTCCTAAGGGAGATCTCCACTTTATCTGAAGCTAATAACACTTAGGCTTCTTGTCTTAGAGATAGATGCACTTAGAGAATAATCTGCTCAAGTGTAATCAAGATCTAAATCCTATCCTTATCATATATGCTGCTATACCCGGCCCAAGGCTTTGTATGTAGAAGATGTGCTGTAAACATGTAAGAGTAGTATATAAATGTGAGTCAGGGAGAAATGCTTCATTAAACCCTCTTACTGCTCTCAGTAGTTCTCAAAGTGTAGTCCCTGGACAGCACCCCAGACCTTCTGAATCAGAAACTGGGAGTTGGGCCCAGTCAACTGTTTTAACAAGCCTTCCAGTTAATACTGAAGCACGCAAAAGCTTGAGAACCACTGCGCTAACTTAAACATAGAAAGCAGTTGTCTCTAATTTCAAGGCATTGCCTCTGGTGTAATAACAACAATTAAGAATGCACTTTGTGGAAAATGCGAATTCTTTGTGTATTAAAGACTGTGTCTTTCTTGTCTTTGAAACGCTCTACACCCCAGTATGTGTTGGAATCCTTTGCAGTTATTTCAGCCTTAAATTCTTGGGATTACCACCACCCTCCCCTTTCCCCAATATCCTTACCCCAAAGAAATTCTGATTTATTGGTCTTGGAGGGGGTGGGGTGCTGGCAAGTGAGTTTTAGAAAAACTTCTTGCCAATAACCCATTCCCAGCAGTTTGTAGAACACATTTTTGTGTCTGGTCTCCAGAAAACAGGCTGCTGCAAGTTGGATAACTGGATCAGCCATTTCGTAGCTATGTGTTAGTAGTAGATGATTACAGTGGTGGTTCCAATGCATCGTGCCTTGCGGTATCCACTCCCTTGTGTAGATCTGTTCCTCACTAACTGTGGGCTTGGCCATGAGACTTACTTTGGCCAATAAGTGGGAAATCACAGACCTGATCTGGTTAAGTGCTAGCTAATGGAGCTTGCTGTAATGGGTTTACTGTATGATTTACGAATATTTAATCGTGTTATAGAAAATAAGAGAAACTAAAATGTAGGCATAATTTTCTTATGAGACATGCTATACACAGAATAGATATATGTTGAACATAGATAAGAAGGATGGAACAAATGAAAGTGTTACTTTAGATAGAAAGAGACCAGTCAACTTTAAATATTAATTAATAAGGCATACTACCTCTAGACATACTGACAACTATGTCATCCCTAAAGTGACCAGCTACTAGTGACATCCATTATAGCCCCATTATTGCCTCATGTAGTCTCTGCACAAAAAAAACAGGTAAACTCCTAGCTACTCAGCCAGCTAATGGCCAGCTACAATTATGACCAGACACTGTTGCCCCTGTATCTCTCCAACAAAGCAAATGTATGTCAGTCAGTTTCAGTCCCCTTTGATCAGTCAACCCCCTCACTTTTTACTCTGGTTCTTAAAACCACACCATTTGCAGAGTAGACTGGCATGGCAGAGAGGGTTAGCACATGTGAACATGGCATAAAACAAAACTTAGGCACTATATTCCTTCCACCCTGCTATCCTAAGCTTGTTTATCTACCCCCATGTCTTTCTCCTTGCTTCTCACTCTGGTCTAAATGGGTTGATAAACTGGGTTACTATTGCTGCTCTTTGAGTAAACCCATTATGACAAACTCAGTGACTTAAATAGCCAATTTATTTGGCTCATAATTTTGTGGCTCAGAAATTCAGGAAGGGCTTCCTTGGGCAGTTCTTTGTTGCGGTCTCTTATCAGATGTCAGCTAACTGCAGCTGCTGTCTTTTGAAAGCTCTTCTGGGCTAGACATCCAACATGGCATACTCAAGTGGTTAACAGTTGATGCTGGCTGTTGGTTGGCTGGAAGCTCAAATGGGGCTGGAACCAGCCCCTCCAGCATGGCAGATTTCTCACATGGCAGCTGGCTTCCCTCAGACCCAGTCTGCAAAAAGAACCAGGCTCAGGGCCTTTGATTTATCCAAAAAAGCCATGCAGCATCACTTCTACTATATTCTAATTAGCTATCAGCAAGCCATTAAGTCTAGCCCAGATTCAAGAAAAGGGGATATAGACCCCCCACCTGTCAATGGGAGCAATGCCAAAGAATCTGGGGTCATGTTTTAAAGCTACCACTAGATTCAAGCACAATTGTTCTGTAAGCCTATCTGTTCCATGACCTATGGTACAGCCTGGCTGGTGGTGTACTTGGAGGTTATTTTCATCAAGGTTACTTTTTACATATTTGCCCTCTTGGAATTCTGAATAAAGAAGTCTGGAGTATCCTGCTAGAAAGGCCACACAGAAGAAAAAGCAAAAGCCAATAGCCCCAGCTAACTAACAAGCACATGAGTGAGGCCATCTTGGACCATCCAGTCTCAATCAAGCCCCAGATGACAGCATGACAGCATTATAAAGCGTCTGAGATCATTAGCTCTGGAGCCAGACTGCCAGGGTTTGGGTCTTTCCTCTACCATTTACTAGCTGTATAACCTTGAGCTCGTAACTCAACCTATCCATGGCTGCTCATCTGTTTGAAGGGGAATAAGGGCATGTTGCTGAGTTGGTTCATCTGTTAAATGGAGATAAGGGCATCTGCTCTATAGGGTTATAGTGATATAACTTATGTAGGATTATAGTTATATATATATATATAACTAAATAAATTAATACATGTAAAATATTTCAAACAGCACCTGGAACATGGTAACTGCTCAATGAATATTATCTATTATTATCCAAATTCCCACAGACCTCTCAAACTTCTAGAATTATGTCTTTGGACCCTAACTTAAAAAATATCTACTATCTGTCATTTAATAACACTTCATGTGTGCTATCTGGATTGTCTGTCCATTCCCTTCTCTAAACACTTGAATACCCTAAATACAAGTAAGTGGGGAGTGTTTGGAGTCTGTGTACGGAGCTATGGAGAAGTATAACATAGGGCAGGTCTACATGTGGGTGACAAGAGGCAGGTTCTCAGTAAATATGAGGGTTCTGAAGAGATAGTGCCAGCGAGTTGGAGAAGGTTACAGAAATAAAAGAGGGAGAGGAGGGCCCAGAAGGGAAACTTGGCCTGGGTTTGGTCTGGCCTACTCTTCACTTTTAAAGATGACAAACATTCATGCCTCATTAATAATCACGGTCTCCTCCTCATGAAAAGTTCCTGCTGGATCAGCAGTCCACAGTAGGTTACATAATGCAGATGCTCTCAGCTAGAACAGATAGTCAAGGAAGGATCCAGAAGAATAAATATTTTGATCTCACTGTCTTTTATCTTTCTCTCTGATCTCCTCTCCAGATTCTCCCAGCTGGAGAACAAACCCAACTGAAAGTGGAAGGGCCCATTCATAAACAGGTGAGTTTCTCTGACCAGAGAAAAGTAGAGAATAGATCCAAGGGACAAATGGAAGATACCCAACACAATAAGAAAACCAAAAAAATGAAGAAGTAATAGATATAATCCTTTTATGTACCCAGAAGAAACTTCTGGAAACAGTTGCCTTTCTGAAAAATTGGCAATAGGGAGATGCAGGGTTGGGAAGTGCTTTCTTAAATATATGTATCATGTACTTTGTAGAAGTATTTGAATTTTATAACTAAATAGAAGTTTGATAAAAATAATTTGTAAGTGCTTTTTGTGTTTGCAATGAGAAAATCATTGATGACTTTTTGCCATGCAATTTCAGTTAAGTGATGGGAGCTCAGGTCTGATTATAATGGATAGTTTACTGCATCATACACAAATCTGCTATGATTCTCACCACAAAAAAAAATGTTAGCTTTGTGAGGTGATAGAGATGTGCTGATTAACTTGACTGTGCTAATCATTTCACAAGCATACTTACATTAGTCATCACATTGTACATCTTTAAAAAAATCATGTTGTACAACCAAAATATATACAATTTTAATATGTTAACTATACATTAATAAAACTTGGGGAAAAAATGATGTTATTTGGTGTAAGGCTCATGATTCTTTGCCACCTGTAGGCTTTTAAACAAAATGTGCCTAAATGGAGTTGTGCTTGCTTCAGTATTCATCATCCCTACAGACCCAATCAGGACTTCTATTTCTTGAAACTATTTCCATGACAATCTCTGCTCCACTATTTGAAGGAAAGACCTTCAAAGGACTAATATTAGTAGTATGGGGTTTAAGAGAAGGATAGTTTGACTTTCTCCCTCCATCACTTTCTAGTTGCTTTAAAGTTAAATAATTAGTTCTGCTGATCATCTTCATAGTACTAGCTAATCATTATTTAGTGTTCAGCATAGGGAAGTTATGCTAAGTACTTTGCATACTTCATTTCATTTTATCCTCTTAGCTTTACAAAGTAGCTTTTGTTATCTCCAGTTTATAGATAATAATAACAATGAAGAATATAGATCACTATTATTGAGTGCTTATCATGGTCCAGGTACTGTGCTACTAAACCCTTAATATAGATTACCTTTCTTCATCTTTATAAATAACCTTATCATGTAGGAGCTATATTTAGTCCTCATTTTTTAAGATGATAAACTAGAGGTACAGACAGTTAAATAGCTTGTCCAAGATCACACAGCCCATAAATGATAGATAGGATTCAAACCTCTGGACTCTGTGAATCCAGAATTCAAGCTTTTTCCCTGCAAAGGCCCAGCCAAGTTCAGGCACAGATATATTTTCCTTAGAGCTAAGAGACACTAAGTCACCACATCCTTGTCTTTGCATGAGTTTCAAGGTTTCTCAAAATTGAGCCTATTTTGTTTCTTGATAGCTCCAGTGGCAACTTCCCTCAATAGATTATTTGTTGCCTGACCAGCTTCATATTTAATGACTTTATTAATTTCCAGTTTGAATTTCCCATTATTATTACCCTTTTTAACTAACATGGACTGTTTCATGGAATCCCCTGAGGCACTGGTAAATACACTGTCTGAGAAAAATTTACATACTAAATACAGAATCCATTAAGACCGGCCAAAGCATGATAAATGTTGGAAAGCATTCACGTGTTTTAGTCTTTTTCACTTGCAACTATTTATTGGCAGGCTTCTCTCTGCCTAGCATTGTACAAGGCATCCTCTCAGTTCCATGACCTCCTCTCACTCCAATGCTCCTTTGCTCCTTCTACCTTCAGCCACTTATCCCCACCACTGGCCTGGTCATCACAAATCATGTCAACACCTTCAAATTCAATGACCGCACACTCCTTTCTGATCACCACTTTCTGCCGTTCTAGTTCACGTACTCTTACTTCTCCTCACTACAATTGTTTAACCCTCTCAGGACCTCTACTTTAGCTCTACCACCGTTCATTATCAATCAGTCATCTTGTGCCCTCCCTTTTCTTTGAACCCAGCTTAAATTCCATGGCCTTTGAAGGACCCTGTCAGCTTTTACCTGGCAATGAATAAACTCTGTTGCTAAACCTAATGTTTATTGATCAGATTTTCCTCCAGATCTCAAAGATTTATGAAATAGTGAGTTACTCCCTCATTCCAGAAATGCTCTCTTTTTTGACATAATTGCACCCTTTGAAGCACCATTAACTTGTTTGCTCCGTGTCTCCATCCTACTCATTTGACAAAGTAACCACTCTGGCTAAACTCAAATATTGGCTAGATATCCACATCAGCTCTTGAGCAGCAGCATGTGGCTGGAGAACATCACAACCTTCTTTACCTGTATGCACCTCTAGGCCTTCTTCCCCTTTACAATAGATGGAAGGTTCTTACTCTTACCAGGTGAGTGTTCTTTGGATCTTGCCTGCTAAAATCAACTCCTAGAATTAACCCCTTCTCTTGCATCTTTAAGTTCTCCCTCTGCATGCTTCCCACAAACATAAAAGCATCTTCCATCTTTAAAACAAAGCAAATCTTCTCTTGAACTTGAATTCATCTATAGCTGTAGCCCCATTTTTCTGTTCATTTAAGAGCAAAACATCTGGAAGAGGTGTTAATGGTCAGCATCTACACGCCCCCTTTTCCCATTTGCTCTTGCAACCACTCAATGAGAGCTTCACATCATTAATCACTCTATCAAAATTGCTTTTACCTGACAATGAATAAGCTCTGTGTTGCTAAACCTAATGTTTATTGATCAGATTTTCCTCCAGATCTCAAAGATTTATGAAATAGTGAGCTACTCCCTCATTCCAGAAATGCTCTCTTTTTTGACATCTGGGAAACAGTCTCCTGGTTTTCCTCCCCTCTTGTTGGCTGTTCCTTCTTCTGAGTCTTCTTTAAAGGTCCCTCTGCATTACCTTGCTCCTCAGCCTACTTGTCTTGCCCCTCAGCCTACTTCTCTTTCTATCTACACTTTCACCACAGGTGAACTCATTCAGGTCCCTGGCATCCAAATCTTCCCATCTCCAGATTCATATATCTAGCTACTTACTGGATGTCCAGTACACAATTCAGTGTGATGCCGGCAAAGGACTCATGATTCAATGCCATTTATCCCAGATCCTGCCCTAGATAAGCAGCACCACCATCCACCCAAATTCTTGGGTCGAAATCCTAGAAGTAAAATGTGTGTAACCAGCAAATCTGTAGAGACAGTGATTTTCTAGGTGTACTGGGTTGAATGGTGGCCCCTAAAAAGATAAGGCCATGTCCTAACCTCAGGACTCTATGAATGGGGTATTGTTTGGGAAAAGGGTCTTGGCTGTTGTACTTACTTTAAGGATCTTCAGATGAGAGCATCCTGGATTCCACAGGTGGGCCCTCAATCAGTGATGAGTGTCCTTACAAGTGATAAGAAGAGAAGACATGAACGAGAGGCCATGTGAAGATGGAGGCAGACAATCGAGTGAGGCACTGGAAACGCCGGAGCCTCCAGATGCAGGAAAAGGCGAGGAGTTCTTTTCTCCACTAGAGCTTCCAGAGGGAGCACAGTCCCACCGACAACTTCATTTTGGATTTCTGGCTCCAGAACTGTAAGAGAATAAATTTCTATTGTTTTCAACTACCAAGCTCTTTGTAATTTTTTACAGCAGCCCTAGGAAAAGAATTCACTCGGGCTTGGGGGAGGAGGGAGATAAGGAGTGACTGCTAATGGCTCTGAGGTTTCTTTTTGGAGTGATGGAAGTACTCTAAAATTACATTATGTGATGGTTGCATAACTCTATAAATATACTAAATACCACTAAATTGAAGACATTAAACAATTTTATGATATGTAGATTCTATCTCTGAAACTAAAAATAAAACCCCTAGGAGTTACTTTTAGTCCTCTCTTTATTCTCACATCTAAATCCTTAAGTAAATCTTTGGGCTCTCTTTCAAAATATGTCTCAAATGTGACCTCTTCTCTTCATCTCCATGGCCACCATTTCTGCTCTGCACAACCACAATAGCCTAAAGGGTGTTGCTGCTTCCACTCCAGCCTCATTCACATTCATACTCCTTAAAACAAGCAAAATTGTTATCCTAGAACATAAATCAGGTCATGTCATTTTGAACTTAGAATAGAATCCGAATGCCCCACTGAGTCCTACTGGACCTTACACAACCTGCATGGCCTCCATCCACATCTGAGACCTCATCTCTTTATACGCTGCCCTTTGCTCTGTACTTCAGCTGGCCACAGAAACCCCCCTTTTGATCCTGGGACAGACCAATCTTGCCCCTGCCTCAGGCCGTTTGCTTCAGCTGTTTCTTCTGCAAGTATCACTTTGCTTCTCAAATTCCCCGTGTCTGTCTTCTTCCTGTCAAAACCTTTTCTGACTCTGCTCCATAGTTGCCTCACTCCCACTTACTCCCAAACATGTCACTTTATTTTATTGTTTAGCAGAAATAACGTTGTTCATTTAGTTATGCATTTAGTTACAGTATATTTCCCCCAGCAAAGATAAGCTCTGTGAGGGTAGGGACCTTACCTTTCTTGCTCACTACCAAGTCCCCATTCCTACCACAGTGCCTGAAAAAAGAGATGCTCAATAAATACTGCATACGTGACTAAAGAAAGGACATAAATCATAAGGCACACAGCCTTTTGCCCTTCAGAAGCTTACAGTCTGTTGGAGGTCTAGACATACTTGCCCTGTCATAAAAGATACAACAACAATGTAAGACAGAATAAAAACTGCCAACACTTAAATAGAATGGTCTTCACCCATAACAAAGCTGATGACCATCCCAAAGTGAGAAATTCCTGGGGAACACGTTCTTTCCCAAGCCTACACTGGTTGGGCAGCTGGAATGGCTGAAGGGGTAGTGAGGCTGAAGGGGTACAGGTGCTCATGACTTTTGATGACCTCTGCTAGGATGCAAAAGCAAGTGCAGAGAGCTGTGGTTTCTCCGGGCAGCACCCCTGAACCAGTTCCCATCTCCTTACAACACGTTCCTCATTCCCATCCTCCTTGGCTTCCACATTCTGGGCTCTGCACTGCAAGTTCAGTGCATGCCTCTGGCCCAATAGTCTTGGCTTTTGTGGCATATTTAATTGTTCCTCTGACTTGACTCAGTCCTCTGCACAACCCTAACTATCCTATGAATAAGGGAGTAAGAAATTCCTTTCTCCCCAGTCTGGTCTCCCACATTACCCCCTTTTCCCTGGAAATCTCCCCTCTCCTTAACAGAGGAATTCAGACAATTGACATCAAGTGTATGTGTCAGAGTAGGAAAAAACATGGGACTTGGTGTCAAACAAGAGGTGCAAATCACAGCCCCACCCCTTTCTCTTTGTGTGACTTCGGGCAAGTTATTTAATGTTTGAGTTTTGCTTGCCTCCCTTTTTAATCTCCAAAGCTTTATCTACCTTAAGGGTAGTTGAGATGATAAATGAGGAAAAGGCGTCTTTTTACACCTCTTTGTCACTTCCTCTTTCAATGTTTTTCTGTCTCATTTATTGGTATGATTACCATTCACTCAGCTGATCAAGCCAGAAACCTGGAGGATCTTCTTTAAAATTTCTCCAGATCTATTTCCTGCTGCTCCAAAGCCAAAATAACTTTCACTCAGTTCCACCTCTTTCCATTTCTCTGCCATTTCTGTGGTCTGGACAATCATCTCCCTATGAAACAGTCTTCTAACTGGTCTCCCAACAATGGATCCATTCTCCACAGCAGTCAATTATTCATAAAATGCCAATTTAAGCAACACATTTACTTCCTTAAAACTTGTCAATGGCCTCCCATTGCTATCAGGATAAGGTACACAATATTTGCCATGACCCACATGGCCCTGCATTGCCTGAACCCAGCTCCTCTCCAGCTTCACCGGGACCCTGGTTTTAAGCTCCAGGCACACTGGTCTTTTGTCCCTTTGGGAACCCTCCAAGCTCCATCCTGCCTTAGACTTCCTCATTACTCTTCATTCTGCCTAGAACCCTCTCCATCTCTCTCCACCTCTCTGTTCCTTCTACCTAATTCATTTCTGCCCATGCTCCAGGTCCCAACAGAAACATCACTTCCTCAGACTTCCCTCATTCTCCCTTCCCTCAAACCAGAGTGTATCCCCTGTCCGTTGCCTCCATCATGTACACACACTGCCCCCCCCAACATCACTCTTAATTACTTGATTAGCATCTTATTTCCAGCTATACCTATGTTTCATGAAGGCAAGAACTGTGTCAGCTTTGTGTCCCTTGTGCCTAGCAGTACAAAATAGATGCATAATAAATGCTTGTCGAATTAATGAAAAGTAAGAGTAAATCTAAGTGTTTTAATAACTATAAATAGACTATAAAAATAGCAATTTTTTTTCCTGTTGCAACCACATAGTTAGAACATTAGGAATTTATTTTGAGCTTACAGCAGCCATCATGGTAGCTACAACATGGAATATTTGCGCTCCTAGCTATTTGATGCTAATTCAAATGAGTGTGAAAACTGCTGACACTCATATTCCCTTATCTTTATCCAATAGGTTTCTTTCACTGAGAAACTCAATGGAAAAGAGCACAAGGCTCTGTGATGACAGGGACATTCTCTGTCTCTTCACCACTGTATCTCGAAGGCTTAGACTGCAGACACAAACTACATGCTTATTAAATATTTTCCTAATGAATGAATTAGCCAGGTTTAATAATAGTACAAAGCACTCGTACAACCATCAACAAATATTGTGAGCATCTCAAACTCAGATGTGCAATGTTAATAATACTTAAAGAAGCAGATGGTCTTTTATAAAAAAGCAAACTCCACTGTGAGAGTCCTCAGAGGAGAACACAGGTAAGTCAATTTCTTTATTAAGAACAGACTAAATGAACCCAAAGTTCCCTTTCTTATAAAATTTTTGATTCTGGATTATATGTTAGACATTTGAAATGACAGGTGTATGAGCTTACTGAGAAGTAATGGGGTTTGTGGAACACTGGTGCAATTAAAACCCCAATTTAGTATTGACTTTTCCCAGGGCTTTAGCAATGATACTGCACTAATTGCTTTTACAAGCTTGATGACTACAGCATTCCTGTTAATAGGTTGTCTTGTGGTTTAGGAACGTTTTTCAAAGAGTTTCAAAAAAGGCTCTAAATTCTCCCTCATCAATACCAGCTTAAGACGGCAAGGCCAAGTCGAGAAGACGTGTTCTGGAGCTAGAATTGGGACAAGCCCGAGTTCTACCTGCACTATATGTGTGGCCTTATGTAAATCACCTACTTCTTCTTAGATTTAATTTTTCTTCATATGTAAGTATAACTTTACCAGGTAATCTCTGAAATCCCTTTGAGTCTGAAAACTCATGATTCTAAGAAACTAAAAGCATATAACATGCACATATTATTCCTGTGCTTTAAAATTCCCAGTGCTTCCCATTGCACTTAAAATAAAACCCAGACTCCTTATACTGGTCTAAATTTCTTGTGTGATCTGGCTCCTGCCTATTTCACCTGGTCTCAACCCCTATCACTCGCTGTTTTGGCTGTGCCAGGCATGTTGCTGCATAAGCAACGGAGCACATACTATTCCCACTAACTGGGATATTCTGTCTTTACATTGCTGGCTTCTTCTGATATTTAAATTCAGCACAAATATCAACTCATGAAAGAGGCCTTTACTGAACACTCAACACCCCTCCCCTATGGCTTTCTCTGTCACTTCATCCTTGCCTTTTTTCCTCCATTGCCCTTGTCACGATCTGAAATTATATTGTATGGTTATTTGTTTCTCTGCTAACTGACAGACTCACCCTACTAGAAGGTATTGCTACCTGAAAGTAGGAACCTTCTCTGTCTAATGCCCCACTGCATCCCAGGTACCAAGCCTAGTGCCTGCCACCAGAGGAGTTTCTCAGTAAATATTTGCTGACCTCAGGCTCAGGATTAAGTTCAGTTGTTCTGTCTGCATCAACATTATTTGCTTGACCCATTGATTTTTTTTGCATAATCAAAAGAGCAGGTCCCCAAATATGAAAATATTTTTGGAAAGAAAAAATAAAAGAGGACATCACTTTAGCTTTAAGAACAAATCACCAAAGTGAATGGATTGGGGCTTATAATTACATCACTTAGAAGTGATGGTATTCACTGGGAATCCAAAATATTGACCTTTATCAGTAAGTAATAAAAGTTTGAGATAAGTGCAATCTGTTCACACTGAACTGCTGAAATTACTCCCCAGTAAATATTCACCTTTTTTTTGAAGTCTGTGACTTACTAAATATTCACTTTTTTGTAATCTGTAACTTCTAAAAATTAGCTTGGTATATTGTTTGCAACCTGGGGTGTGTTTGTCCAGAGAAATTATTGTTCTCAATGGTGCCATGCCAGGCAAAGCAAAAAAGTCCAAGAAAACCATCTCATACCTGAATTTAGTACTGTAGTAATGTATGAGGTCCCTGTGACTCACACTGCTTCTGTAGCAAGAGCAACTGCGGACTCCAAAACATTACTTCTGGGCGGCATCCTTCTCTTTCCCTACCTTATCCTCTCCGTTCCAGTGCTTTAGGACTTAGTTTTTGAAAAATCTTAGGTTCTTGCCTTTTCTTCCTTGCCACATTAAATAGGCCAATATATACCACAGAAAGTTACTGTAAATTCAACAGAAGGTGGGAGGATGACATAGTTGGGTATCTGAGAACACAGTTTCTCATCTGTATCCAACTTGGGTGAAGGAGTTGATAAAACTTCTGCCGAAAATTCTGATGAATCCCATCAACATTACAATAGTCTAAATCTCAGACCAAAAAGGAGGCTTGACTTTACAAATTGTAGTGAGAACTTTGAGGAAACATTAAAATAAACATTTTCCAATAAATATTATGTATGTGAATAGGCTGTTGGAACTGGATGTGAAGATGAAGATTATATAATCCAGTCCTTTCATTTCTCACAAAAAAGATTGATAAGAGGAGATTGAATGGTTTATCCAAGGTCACACAGTGATTGAGCCAAGGAAGGCTCAAAGTGACTACTCTTTCCCATAGAGGACAGAAGCCATTTGACATTCTTCTCACATTGGAGCCAAGGGGCTGCTTTGTGGTTCTTGATAAACATTTGTTGAATAAATGAAACCCCCTTACCTTAAAATTCTAATCTTGTTTTGATCTATAAAATAAATTATTTGTGTCCTTGAACATAATAGATACAGCTAGACATACTATAAGGACTTACAAGTGACCCCTGATGAGTTTTGCTAATTGGTTCAGTTCAGGGACTGGAGTTCACACACTGGTTCCCACCCCGCCACCCTGAAGTCCATGGATAAAATTCAGCAAGTCCATAAAGTTGAATGGGAAAAAAAATTATATCTTTATTGTCACTATCCTCTAACTGAAATTTAACAGTTTTGTCCATTATGAACAGGCAACAAACGAGCAACGTTACCACTGACTACACAGTAGTAATCACAGATATTTTACACCACATGATGATTTTTGCAGATATCTTGAAATATTATTTATACTCAACATTACTTCAATATTATAGTAGTTATTGGACCCAACATGGATCATGTTATTTAGTACATTAGTAAAGAATTGCATATATTACTATATCACAGATGTTTTTCTAAGTTTTGTGGTAGACATAATAATGGTTCCCCAGAGATCTCCAGATCCTAATGTCCAAAGTATGAATATATTACCTTACATGGCAAAAGGAACTTTGCTGGTATGATTAAATTAAGGATCCTGACATTAAATTATGGGCCCAATCTAATTACAGAGGTCTTTAAAAGGGAAAAAAAGGGAGACAGAAGAGCGAAGATTTGTCTACAGTGAGACTGATGCCATTGCCAGCTGTGCCTCACAGCCAAGGGGTGTAGGCAGCATCTGGGAGGTGAAAAGAACAAGCAAACAGATTCTCTCTCCCCTGGAGCCCCCAGGAGGAGCCCTGATTCACCGACACCCTGATTTTAGTGCTCTGAGATCCTTTTTAGCTTTCTGACTTTCAGACCTATAAGTAATCTGTGTTGTTTTAAGCCACTGTTTGTGGTAATTTGTTGCACCAGCAATAAGAAACCAATGCAACATTTTACTGTCATTCATTATAACTGGTTTCCTTGAATTTTCTCTGCAGTTTATTTTATGCATTTAAAAAATTTCAGTTCTGCCTCTTACTAGCTGTTCTAGCCTAGAGTTTCCTTATCTATAACCCCTCTGTTTCCTTATCTATAAAAGAGGAATAAAAAACCCCACATCCCAGGGTGGTTGTGAGAATTAAATGAAATTATGTAAAAATCATGGGGCACCAGGTTCAGGGAAACCCACCAAAATGTTCTTTCCATTGCTTGTCTCCCAAAACCGTTATGATTATGAATTTCTTAATGAATTTCAAAAGAATCATCAGCATATGACATAACATTTTCCAGACCTGACCAATGTTAAATGTTAATTGTAGCTGCTGCTAAAAATATCCAAGAGCAGTTGCTTAATCTGACTCTGACCTTGAAATATTTAAATACTGGCAGTGTGTTTGGAAGGCTAGTTCCAGTTTTGACTAGTATTTTCCAAATAGCTTTGGGTAATAATTTATTATTTCTGTTTGTAACATTGCTCCCTTCCTTTTGAGTAGCCTTCGGTACTTAAATTCAAATAGAATTTGTAATTGATTAAGTCGTCGTGGTGATTAAGAATAAAGTGCATTTTTCCAGAAAGCTTACACGTAAATATTTCTTAATGATTAAATTATAGTTAATGAACCCCATATCATGTTAGCATCTGAAGTAGTTCCTCGTTAATTAGGCACCCTTGAAATCATTACTCTTTGGGTGTCTTTGATATCAGGAATGTGTGACATTTTTAGTAGCCAGGTTATCTAGGCCTCAAAGGTCAGTGTGGTATAAATCAGTAAGTACTTATCAAATTCCTGCTTTTCTATCAATTTCTTGAGGGCAGGGATCCTGTATTTTTCATTTCTCCCATTTGTAGACCACAAATTACCTGGAAGTTTAAAAGTTCAGTGACACATTTTTAAAAATTTTAAAGTAGGATAAGAAAACCCCAAATTACAAACAGATCGTTTTATAAATGTTTCCCTTTTCTTTGAACATAGTTTTCTATAGAAATGTTTCTTTATAAATAACTATGAATAGAAATGTAATAGAAATATGTTATAATCATATTATAATGCATTTGTATAAGTTGTCAATAAAATACATAATATAGTACATTAAGTTTCCAAGCTAGCCTATAAACTCCAGTTGAGCCCAAAATAAATAAAGAAACCAGAATGCTACTTTACTTTGAACATCATTATATATATTTGAATACATGACAAGACTCTTTAGGATTATCACTAGGCCAGGTTTTCCTCCAAAGCAAAACCTTGATTCATAGCCACAAGTCCTCAAGTAGGATGCTGAGACTAGATTGGGGGATAAGAGAAAAGACACAGAAGTTGTAGGGGGTTCTTCCGAGTGGCACTCTGGTGGCAAGACGGGATGAAGAGATTTTAGTTTGCACGTATCTGGCTTCCAGGAAATAGTATTAGTAAAAGCCTCTGACAAAGTTAGTATTTATGATTGACAATGTGTTTTCATGTACATTGGGCATTTATAACCTGGAGTCTCTGGGATGTCAAGTGAATCTGCAGAAGGCGTTCTGGAATTCAGGCATGGCTTCTCTGAAACTGTAAGCAAAGTCTAGACTATATGTACATTTTTCTAGAGAGGGTCATTTTCGCAGGGCTCCATAAGTTAATAGCCCAAGAGAATTGGTTTCCTTTGCCCCTGTAACCGCTTGGTGAGGAGGATAGGGTAAGCACTATTATCTCAGGGTCCACTCCCAATCAGAAGCCATGGATACCAGGTTGTGGCTCCACAAAGTCCACCAACCTGCTGCCCAGGTAAGCAGGGTTCAAAGTACAAAGGAGCAGTGAGCAGGACAGCTGGCTGGTGAGGGGAGGACTAGGGGGCATGAGGAGTAAGGCAGGAAGAATTCCCACAGGGTAAGATTGAGCGAGAGAGTGGAAAGACATAGGGAAGATCAAGTGGGATCGAAAAATGAGAGAATCCTGAAAAATGGTAAGGCTACAATTTTTGTCTAATTTTGACACAAATGCCTGTAAAAGGCATAGTCACTCCCTCAAGGAGCTCATACCCTGTATGGGGCATGGGGATGTAGAAGTTGGGGTAAGCACATAAAACTGTAAGTTAACTGGAGTAAGTGCTATTTTATGCATCTGGCCATATCGCACAGTAATTCTCTCAGTGTACACAGGGGCTCAAAAAACATTTTATTTGTATATTACGTTGACAGCAGACATCATGAGCATAAAAATAGAATTAATGATCAATGTGTGGTACTGTTCAAGCCCATCAGTTGTTAGAAAAAGGATAGAATGATAGAGGAAAGCCAGAAAGGTGAGACACTTGGCCGCATCAGAAGAGTTGGGCAATATTTTTATGTAGCAGAGATGCAGTTGAGTAAATATTTAGACAAATATTGAGACAATGGTGATATTTGTCTGTTTAAAATTGTGGGAGTGAAACCAGGAAGGGAGCCCTTTGAGCCAAACTCATGTGACCAGGGAGATGACATGCCCATCATATAGGAAGTTGAGGGCTACACTCAGCAATCTTGACTCCTCAGTTTAGGATTTTTCCACTACTCCATTGTGCTGTGTTGGAAAGTAATGAGAAGAAGGCTGGATAGGTAAAGTGGGGCCTGCTAGTCAGGGCATTATATTGGGGAATGGGGGTTTGGGCACTGAAAACCCAAGGTATGTTTCCTGAATAGAGGAGCATCATAGAAGAGGCATTAGCCAATGGAGGAAAGCTAATCCTGGGCTTACACAATGAAGAAAGAATTAGTTCCATTCTACTATCAGCAAAAGACTTGGTTTGGCAAGCACCCAGAATCAGAATGAAAAATTTGGCATCTGGGGATTTAAAGTAAACACTAAAGATAATCAAGGCCTGTGGCAATGTGGCCTAGACCTTTGAAACCAACCAGCTGTGCCAAATGGATGATAGGGGTCAGCCGAACAATGTGAGTATCAAAGGCACATCCCTGCCACAGCACATAAAGTGCTGATAGATGCTGTCCTTGGGCACACAGCAGTTTCACATGCTAGGTGCAGGAGTGGAGAAAAGATGACCCGTTAAAGAAGGTCTTATTAATCATTATCTTTTAACTATGTGACTCATAATTCTTCACCAGGCCCTATGCAGTGCCTTCTGCTGGAGATAGTAGCTTCATGATATAGCCTTCAACAGTTGTAGACAACATGTTTCCCACATCTAAGAGTCATTTGATGGCACATCTGTCACTTTAATAGTGATGTTTAGAATGGCTACAAGGTTTTCCTTGATACTGGTCACACTGACTGAATCATAGACTTCTATAACACACTTCAATTGACAGAAAAGGCATTAGGCCATTGATAGTAGTTTTCTGCTTAAAGTAGCATTATCAAGGTTCAAGGTATTTTTCAGGGATGATTTACATACAGTGAAATGCACTGTATCTCAGTATAAGTTCAATGAAGGCATCCCAGCCAAGTTCCCCATCCCACTAGGAAATAACAGAACATTTCTGTCACCACAGGGAAGTTCCCTTATACCTCACTTCTATCAATCTCTGCCCAACTCCAGGCAATCGGTGTTCTGAGTACTATGAACATAAATTAGGTTTGCCTGTTCTGGAACTTCATATAAGTGGAATCATGAGTTTATACTGTTTTCTTGTCTGGCCTTTTCACTCAGCATACCATTCTTTGGTATTTGTCTGTGTTGTTGTGTGTGTGTCAGTGGTTGTTTGTTCTTTATATTGCTGAGCAGGATGCCATTGTATGAATATAGCAGTTTGTTTATTCATTCTCCTGTTATATTTGGATTGTTTCTAGATTTTGGAAATTATAAATAAAGCAGTTATTAACATTCTTTACTTGTTTTTTTATGGGCACATTTTCATTTCCCTTGAGTAAACACATAGAAGTGTCTTTGTGGGGCATAAGGTAGATATGTGCTTAACTTTACAAGAAACTGCTAAACAGTTTTCTAGAGGGGTTTTACTGTATTACATTTGCACCAGCAATGCATGGGTTTTGATTGCTCCATATCTTTGCCAACATTTGTTTTTGCTGGTATTTTTCATTTTAGTCAGTTTAATAGGTATTAGTGTCTCATTGTGATTTCAACTTGCATTTGCATGATGAAAATTATATTTAACACTTTTATATGTGTTTATTGCCCATTTATATCTTTTTGTGTGCATAGTATGTATGTTCAGGGCATTTGCAAATTTTGTTGGTGATAAAGTGTTTTGTCTTTTTGTTATTGATTTGCTAGAGAACTTTATATAGTATTATGATTATTTTCTTTCTGTGACTTGCCTATTCATTTTTTTTGATAAGTGGAAATTTGAAATTTCATCAAGTCCAATTTATCAGATTTTTTCTTTTATAGTTAGTGCTTTTTGTTTTGCTAAGAAATCTTGGGACCAAGTTACAGAAATAATCTAAGTTTTCTTCTATAAACTTTGTAACTTTCACTTTTATGTTTAGGTTGATAATCCATCTTGAGTTATTTTTTCTGTATCATGTGAGGTAGGGATCAAGATTATTTTTTTCCATATGAATATTCAGTTGTTGAAGCATTATTTTTTGAAAAGTCTTTCCTTTGCCCACTGAAAAGCCTTGATGTCATAAGGAAAATCAGTTAACTACATATATGCTTGTCTATTCTGGTCTCTTAATTCAGCTTCATAGTTCTTTTTCCTATCCTTATACCAATTTCAAACTATCTTTATTACTGCAGCTTTATAATAAGTCCTCTGTGTTCAATATTGCTTTTGCTATTCTAAGTACTTGCATTTATATAGGTGTTAGGACCAATATATCAATTTCTACCGAACAGCCCACTGGGATTTTGACTGGGATTGCACAGAATCTAAAGAAAGATTTGGGGAGCACTGACATCTTAAAAGTATTGTACCTTCTAATTCATGAACATCTCCCCATTTATCTAGGTCTTTAATTTCTTTCAGCAATGTTTTGTTGTTTTCAGTGTATAGATCTTATACATTTTCCACCAGATTTATCCCTATCTTGTTTCTAACACAATTATAAATTATTTTTAATTTATATTCCATGTAGGTCCCTTTATCTTTCCCTCTTTTTAATATAATTGTCTTCAGTATTTCTTCTACATACTTTGAGCACTGTATCAGATGGTATATAAGTCATGTTTCAACCATCAAACAAATTGAAAAATCTCACGAAGAGGAAGAGAGTTTGTGAGAAATAAGTGGACTTTGGAGTGGCATATTAAAGGTGGCAGACTTGGTGCCATGGCCTTTTGACTCTTTCCCTTTTCCCTTCCTTTCTCCCTTCCCGCAGTGCGGCTTAATGCTCACAGATGAAGCAGCCATTCTGAGAGCATGAGGATGAAGTAAATGAGAAAGCCAGAAGGATATCTAGTCTCTGAAGGCATCATGAAGACTTGTTGCTTTGAGGGAAAAAAAAAAAACCATTTGACAAACCAGTAGAAGGAAGAGGTGCCCTCATTAAAGTTTCTAATTCAGTGGGTTTGGAGAAGGGCCCTGCATCTTTCACATGAACTGTAAGTGATCCTCTAGCCAGTAATCCAAAGATCATCCTGAAGAAACTCTGCTTTGGCAGGTGTGTAAATGGGAAATTTCATGGTAAATGCAGAAGGGAGAGAAGAGCATCATAAATTTGAGGACAATGGCAAGTCAAGTAACAAATTGCCAGTGGCATCTAAGAGCTTACAAATAAATGACTGCTTAGGCTTTACATTATGACCCACCAATACGATCCCTGAATTTTCAAATTTATGAGATATCACAGTGAAAGAGAACTAATGGTAAATCTAGAAATTGCTTTTAGCAAATTCAGTCACTTCCATTATCATTTAGTGTTATGAAATCCTACTGAGTAGATGAGAATATTGTCTACCTGAGAACTGTTGCTCTATAATATATTGACTTGGGTGACCTATACCAAGAAATGTAAGACCTATTCAACTCTCACAAGTGCAGTTAAAGCAATTCCCTTTCTAAGAAGCAAATCTAAATATAATAAATGGATGCTACCTCTATTTAAATAAAGGACTTTAATTGTCAATATCAGTACAAAATATTCTATTTTTTTCTTCCTGAGAGTATCTTATTTACAGATAATAACCCCAGTTCTGATTTTTAATCATGATAGATCCCTTGCTAAAACAAACCCAGCATATAAGAATCTGTGCTTCCACAGAAGATGCATTTAGGCTATTGATCCTTTCTTTATAAAATAGCAAGCTCTCCTAATGCATTTAAAATTGGACTTTATTAAAACATGGCATTAGAATTCTTATACTGAAATTTTTGTGAAGTGTATATAGCAAACATAAAATAATTACAGTGTAGTTCTATCTTATTCAGGAGTCAGGCACTTAAGTGTGCTCATAACACTCAAGTGTAGACATAAATTAACATTGGAAATCTCTCAAATCGTCCATGTAGTGTAAAACAATAGCAGGTTTCCTGGCCTTCAGTGACAAGAATGTTTAAAAACCGACTCCCTTCTTTCATGCTTTTAGTGCTAAAGAGGAGGAGTTGAGAAGAACTGACAAGTGCAGGTTGAGATTACCCATATCTGCCCAGGGCAAGGGATTCAGAAGAAAAATACAAAGTCGTGGCCCTCAGGGTCCAGTCTGGTGGGAGGATAGACCAGGAAACAATCCATTATACTGGGGTAAGGGCTCTAGGGGAGTTATGGTCAAGCTGTATCATGGGCCTATAAAAGCGCAAATGTCCCTTGAGCTAGGACTGAGATAGGGAGAGATTAGGCAGCCAGGCAGACATCTAAGAGGAGGTGCTGGCACTGGAGCCGCATTTTAGAGGCTGGAATAAACAGCTGTGTGTGCTGCCTGGGGAAGTAGGAAAGTGAGTGAAGCTGCTTTCCATGGCTGGAGCACAGTGTGCTTCAGGAGAGGGGCCAGGAACTGAGGAAAAATAGATAAGGCCCAGAGCAAAAGCCTCCACACAATGCTAAGGAATTTTAACTTTATTCTAAAAATAATGGGCAGTCATTAAAGGATACTAAGCAGAAAAATGAATTAACTAGACTTGCATGTTAGGAAGTTTATTCTGATTGATAAAATTTAGGGTTTATGGTGATTTCCATGAAGCATTCAAAATTAGAACCTTGGTCAGGAACTTCATCCCCTAATATGCCTGCTCTAAGTTCTTTATATTTTACCTGCAATTGGCACCCAGAAATAAAGATGACTTCCAATACAACTCTGTATTTTACTGACTTCACTCCTGTGGGCCATCATGACTCTGGGAGACTTCTCTCTGAATTCAAGAAATCAAAGTAAAATTATTTAATAGGAATTATCTATCCTTTTCATTCATTTATTTCCCAAGGCCAACTTCTAAGTGAATCTAGAGAAAATGTTACCATGGATCCCCACTCTGTGCTTGAAATGCAAATGATAAGTAATGATGACACTAATGAAAAATTAGCCCTAATTGCTAGTCATTGGAGCAATATTTCTTTTTTATGACACTGATTTGAGTAGTCCATGAAGAGGAAATTTAGAATCAAAAACAGTTATAAATGAACCATTTTGAAGGACTGGAGTCCAGAGCAAGTGTTATTTAATCTGCCCAGAGGCCATGCAGAAGGGCAGCCTGTTTATATATTTGTTCGTCTTATAAATGTGTGTTTACTGAATATAAATATGTGTGTGTTAAAGCCAGAAATAGATCACCTCTAAACTGTACATTCTTTGAAATACAATCCAAACTTCAAATATTAGCTGACACACCATCACTCATTTATTTGTTAGTTGGCTATGCAGTGTAGTGCAATGGTTAAGAGCAAAAGCTACAGAACCAGGGTGCAAATTCCAGTTCTGTCTCATCACAGCTATGTGACCTTGGGTAAGTCCTTTAACTCTAGTAAATGAGGTGGATCTCTGTACCCCATGGTGTCTGCCACGAGTTAGAAATGAACAGAGATTTTCATGGCACATTAACAGAGGCATGAATTCCTCCAGATATGAGGGTACACTAGAGGGAGGGAGGAAGGGAGAGAGAATGGCTGGGGAATGTAGGAGAGGGTGATGCCTTAGCTAAGTTTAAAAGTAAGGAGGATTTAGGTGGAGGTGATGGATAGGAATGCCCCTTCAGTCTTCTCTCTGGGCGGTGATAGATCATCTTTACTGGTTTCCTAAAGCCAAATGGTGAATGGACCCGTCATGTAGGTAAGAAGCATCTAGTGGATGCATCCATTAGGAAGATGGGGAGGAGGCTCACAGAGTCCGCATTACAGCCACACAAAGGAAGTGGTGAAATCCCTAAGCACTTGTTTGGAAATGTCACATCTTTTTGCCCATGGTTGTGCCTCCTAGTGAAGATACCTGGTAATACAAATACACTGGGAAAGCCTTTCTAAAACGTCCTAGGCTTTTAAACAGCACCTAAAACCCAAAGAGCTCTAAACTATGTATCTATGCATTTTATTTATAAATTTTAGAAAAGAGTTACAGTACTAATATGTACTTCATTATGTAAAAGCAGATAAGGAAGTTAAAGATGAGATACACAAATATGAATTGAAAGAAGGAAAATTTAATATTTCTCCTTCTTAACCATTGGGACCATCTTGCATGCTCATGGGGTGTGCTGCATTATTTTGAAGATCTCTGAAAGCCAATCTTGTCAAATTGAGCTTGAGGTACTGGTTAAGAATGTAGACTTTGGGGTCGGCTGGTCTGGATGTGAACTCTGTCTCTACCACTTCCTAGCTGGGTGACAACCTTAAATTAACATCCTTGACTTCAAAACCCAAATAATAATAGTACATCCCTCACAGATTTCTTAGAAAAGTTAATTATATAAAACATTGAAATCAGTGCCTAGTACATGGTATGTACTTGATAAATGTTAATTATTTTCCTCAGTGCCACTATTAAAAATAATTTAAAATATTTTTCTTTACACTGTCCAAAACAAACAAAAAGTCCAGATGGAAGGAAAAGGAAAGAAGCCTGGAAGGACTTCCTGCAAAAGTCTGAATTTGAATTTTCAAAAATATGTAAGAGTCTGTTGGGCGAAGGCAAGAGTCACCTCAGCCCTTTTGTAGCTAAAATATATTACTCAATCTTTTTCATAGATGCTGTTCTTTGCTGTTTAGTCTTCTCTTTCTTTCATCTAAACATATCTCTAGAGTCTCTTTGTTCCAAGGCCTATTTTTGCCATAATACCTGCAGGAATGTCACTTAATGGCTGGTATTTGCTCATCCTCATGTGTCCTCAATTATCCACATAGTCAGAAAGTAAAACCAACCCACTTCCCAGTCTCCCAGCCTCAGGGGTGGCCATGGGACCCCCTTCTATCCCAGAGGGTAGATGGAAGTCATGACTGGGCATTTTGTATTTCACTTTGCCCTATTCTTCCTGCCTGAATTTTCTCAAAGAGCCTAGAAGTGTAGGGCCATCTTGAACCTTCCAGGATGAAAGGGTCACGTGAAGGCTGAGAAGGAGCCTGGTTACTGAGGCTTTCCCTGAACAGCTACACCGACCCTAGCCTTTTTGTTAAAAAATATATACCTCCCCACAAACTGTTGAGTTGCTGTTTGTTGGAGTTTTTACCATTTGCTACCAAACACACTCACGCGTCTGGATTAACCATTGCAGTAAGAGATGTCTAATAGAGATGAATGAAGAAGGGCCCGAGAGGAATGGTAGGGCCTGTGAGGAGCCCTGGACATCTAAACCATCCAGAAACCCAAGAACTTCCCTCAAGAGCTTCACCTGGTTTGGTGCTGATTATTGCTGCCATCTAGTGGCAATACTTTGGAATAACTTGGAATGACTGGTAAAACAGTGGCTCTAGGAACCGTTTTTCCTACAGGTTTTTCTTCTTTTCCTCTGTCATTCATTCATTGATCGTGCGTTCATTCTATAAATATCTTATGAGGATGTACTATGCATTGCCTTGGTACTCATAAATAGGGAAATATAATAATGAGGTGGGGGGAATCCAGCTCCTTGCCCCTTGGAACCTACATACTTGAGGGAAGATAGCCATTAGTCAAATTAAAAAATGAAAAAGTATGCCTTGGAAAAGGCCGTAAAAACATGGTCCTATGGGGATCACTGACAGGGATTTGACTTATTGGGGAGATAGGTAGGAGGCCAGAAAAGGTTTTCCTGAAGATGTTCTGAGTGGCCTGAGAACTCCAGAATAGCCAGGTGAGTGGAGCATTTTCTGGGCAGTGAGAGCAGTCATGAGTGAGCTGCCACAAAGGGAGGCAGTGTGTTGAGTGCATGAAACATTCTCTAGGAGAGACCACATGCGAGGTCATAAAACAAACCTCGATAAACTTAAAAAGATTAAAAACATACAAAGCATGTTCTCTGACCACAGTGGGATGAAATTAGAAATCAATATTGAGGAAATCTGGGAAATTCCAAGTATATAGAAAATAAACAGCACACTCCTAAATGACCAATGGGTCAAATAAGGAATGTTATAGATGGCCTGAGTCTTCAGGCCTGAGCAGAAAAAGGACTGCCCCAGTGGCAATAGGGCAAACAAAATAAAGATGCTTTCTGGTTACAACTTATGAGTTTTGAGTATTTGTTTTATTGTTTACATTTTAAAACACTACGAGTCAATAAATAAAAAGACAAATATCACCATATAAAAATAACTCATACTGGGATTTTATTGTAAAATGTTAAGATTCAGTAAAATTGATGAATTAAAGTGAGAACTTTTCATATATTTTACTAAAACTTGCTATTTTTAAGTTTTTCTAAATTTAAATATTACAGTCTCAAGCTCTCAGTATAATATGAATTATTCAAAGCCAATGTACAATAATAGAATTTTTAATTATTGAATTATGCTTACTAATGTGACAATGTAGCTTTTTATATAACAATACTAATAAGGACAATTCTTTACCATCTTGGTTTTTACTTAAAATACACTGACATAAAATACAGAGAGCAAAATAACAGTATGCTATCAGTGAAAAACAGAAGTGGGAAGTCCACTTGGGAAGCTTAGAGACAAGGTCCTGGGCACTGTCACTGGGATGGAGAGAAGGGGATTCTCTGGGAAACCATGCAACAGGTAGACTCCATTAAAAATTCAGATGGATTTGTCGTGAGCACCGAGGGCAAGGGAGAGGCATGAGTAAAATAAAAGTCCCAGGTTTCTGACATGAGGGAGTAGGAGACTGGCAGGGACATTTCCCAAGCTAAAGAGTGTCCCGGCCCGCGGGACGAACGTGGAGTGTGCCGGAGACGCCTGCAGAAATGAGACAAGCAAGGGACACAAAGAATGACCAGCAAGACAGGATGTCTGATCAAGCTGGCGAAGTTTATTGTTTACAGGCTCAATTTATACAAGTAGCAAGTAAGGGGTGGGTCAGGAGATAATTGGACCTTAGGTGGCGCTGGCGGGGAGGTGTTTTCACACATCCTCAAGGTCTCCCTATTTTCAGAGTGAGGAGTCTTGGCTCATCTTCAAGGACAAGATATGTTTTTGTGAGCAGATAACTTCCAAGGACTGCACCGGTTGCTCTCAAGCTTGTGCTTTCCCATGCTGCGTTCAGACGTGGGGGAAGGGACATAGCCCCGGCTCCCAACAAAAGAGGAGTGTGGAGAACACAATCTGAGTTCAATTTTGGAAGTGCTGAGTTTGAGGTGCCTGGGAAAAATCAAATGGGGGAAATGGTAGACAGGTATACCCATCAGAAGCAGCATCCAGTGAGGTAGGACGAAGAGCAACAAAATGTGCCTTCAGAATGGAAGAGAGGGATGCCTTGATCTCTTCTCCATGCTCAAAAAGCATCTGGAATTGCAATTCCAATAGCACTTAACTAATGGCATTAAAATTATTCATGAGCATAACTACAACTCAAATTAGGTTCCATGAAGGCAAGAACTGCATCTTATTCAATTCTCTATGCCTTCATGAGCTTAGTACTGGGGAAGTTAGCAAATAGTGGTGTTCAAAAAGTGCAGTAGCGATGCTAAAATGAATGAACAAATGAAGAGGCACCCAGTGGAAGAAAAAGGCATTCCAAGTGCAGCAAGCAGAGTGAAGAAAGGGAGGAAGAGAAAAATGAGAAAGCAAAAACAATTATTCCCCTTCATTTCCAGGCTCCAGGTTCTTTCAAGCCATGGAGGAAAGCTCTTGTGTATGCAGCCAGCCCACCACAGTTCAGAACCTTCCTACATGAAAGCTGACAAATTACAGGAGAGAAAAGAACTTAACAGAACTGAATATAGCCTCTATTGTGAGGGGCTGGTGGATGGTCCCTTGGTCTTCAGTGTGCTGGCATCTCAGCGGGAAGAGGTGGTAACAGAAACTCATCTGTAGCTGGGGTTTCCCTGACTGAGATTCACATGGAATGAAATTCTGGCCATTTTAGGAGAGCCAATTTGGGAAAAAGGTTGCCCAACCTCCTCCTTCCTCCCAGTTAATTTTCCTAATCTACTTCTCCTTTACTGACTAATTATCCTCTTCTGCATTTGAACTCATGGTTGCCCACAAGATTGTTTATTGTTGTCATTGCTGGTTGCTTTTGCTTTGTTGTGATTTTAATGAGTTTAAGGGATGGAAATGATGGGAAAAGTGAGATCATGTGCTTGAGTGATGGTGGATCAAGATGGCCATCTACAAGCGAGGCTCATCTGTAAATCTGCATTTTTTTAAAAGGACCATTTTCAACTCTTAAACTAAGTTAGCTTTCAAATTGTATCCTCTAATATTTTATTTATCCCATATTAAAAATAAGATGTGTCTGGGTCAAAGTCCATACTACATTATTTTCATTACTGTTGCAAGGTGTCAGACTGACTTTGGAACAGAAGTAAATCTAGAGGAAAAACACTGTAAGATATGACATCTCTCATCTCCCACTACAAATAAAACTAAAAGGAGTTTCCATTTGTATGGGACCCAGAAAACAATTTATTTACTGTATCATAGATTTTCTAAAGATTTTTCTAAGATATAAATATAACATTTGTTCTTCATATGTACTTTGTAACTAGAGAAAAACGTACAAAAGAAAATTGAATCACCTATAATTGCATCACTGCTGTTCACATTTTAGAGCTTGCCCTAATAAACTTGTTTAAATGTGTTATGAATGTTATGTCAAAAGACAGACATGAGCAGCCAGAGAAAGTGAAGATAAAGCTCAACGAAGAAGCCATCCAGATAAGGGTCAAAGAAAAAGCCAGGCAAACTCTTCCCAGGTAGAGGGTCCCATGTGGAGACAATAAAGGCTTTGCAGGGAGATAACTTCCTCCCCAACCACATCACAATTGAATGGAACTAAGAACTGCACAGACCACATCTCAGCATGGGGAAAGGACATGCTAAGACAGATGACTATAGAAAGACCTGCAAATCAAAAAAACCCCACCTTATCAGTCAAAGAGTTGCCTCCCAACCAGAATGCAAAATACACACTTCCCGCCTAACAGATCAACGCCTTTGTCTACCTTTACCCTGGGCCACTCTTCCCTTGGAGAGTATTCAAATAAAACTTTCCCTCTGCTTCACTATTGTGTCTCTGCCTTTCAATTCTTTGTTGCAGTGGGGACAAGGACTGAGAAGAATGAACTCAATCCATAACAAATGCATAAAAAATAAGTCACCGTCTAAGGCATAATTGTATATTTTTCAGCTTAACACTGCATAAGGAATAACATCCCATGTCACTAAAGTTTCTCTGGTCATCATAGTAATTATAATATTTCCATATAAAGGATGTACCATAATTCATTTAACCCTTCATCACATAACTTTAAGTATAGTTAGAACTCTTAGTTTATCAGTCTTTGAATTTCTGACCATTTCCACATTCATGAATGGACTACTGTTTGAATGTGAATGAAAATATTCAAGTCTCTTGTGCTAAAAAAAATCATTTTCTTAATAACTATGGTATTTGCCAAGCAATGACTTATGACTAGGTGTTACACAAGATGCTGGGGATATAGCAGTAAACAGCAAAGGAACATTTTTGTTTTATGAGATTATTTGCTGCTATAAGAAAGACATTTAAGAGTAAACAAACAAATAGCAAACAAGGTCTAAATACAAAATTAACAGTGTTAAATAGATGTAACAGTGGAGGTAACAGAGTGACACTTCAGAGAGTATTGAATGAAGGCCCACAAAAAGATGACATTCAGACAAATTCCCAGCCATTGCATCATCTAAGGGAAGGGCATTTCAGAAAAGGGTCACAGCAAATAAAAATATAGTCAAAGGGGACCCCCACCATCCACAGGGGGGTTTCTGGGTATCTCCCCACCATCTCTAGGGGCAAACCACCCAAGCATTGCACCCATGAAGACAGATTTTGGTTTCAGAGCTCCTGCTGACTATGCCAGCTGTAACTCCAGGAGGAACACATGTTCCCAGACCAGTGGCAATAAGCCACAAATCACTGAAACAGAAATCAGTTGAGGGAAAAGCTAGATGGGGAGAAGGCCTTTCACTGATCACAAGAATCCTGGCTCTGTCTGTCTACTCCTGCTTACCCCTTCTCTGGCTGCTGCTCTTGCTCCTTTTGTTTCTCTCAAGTTTCAGCTGGGGAGGCCTCAAAACCCTCTGCTGTCTTGATGCATGCTTGCCTCTCCCACCACCAGTCTATGACTAGGGAAATAGACTAAGGAAAGAGTAACTTCTCTGCACCACTTGTAAACATTTATTGATATGGAGATAGACTAAGGTCAGGTGAGAGATTCTGGAAATATTGCAGTTTTACCCACACTGGCCCGCCTTGGACACAGGCTAAGTCAATTATGGTAAGCAGAGAAAGTCATCAGGCAAAGACTACTAAATGCTTTCAGTTAGAGGCCACTGGGTTGACATATACAGGAATGGTGAGTCCCAAGGGTATATGGGGCCCCAAGCAGATCTTCTACTCTGTCCTGACTGATGTCTTCTTCATGGAATCTTAGTGTTAAACATAGAGATGAGACTGAAAACAACTACTCTGATACTGAATAGGTGTCAAGAAACAAAGTGTTTTAGACATAGCCTTCAGTCTTCCACACAGACCTGAACTGGGTCTTCAATTAATGTTAACCTCTCTGGGTCTCAATACCATCATCTGTAGAATGGTGGAAGGTAAATAGACAGGATAGGGCTTCTTTACAATTCTTATTTTTAATTATTTATCTGTAGGGGAATTACCCTTCATCCTTATTAGATTTATCAAAGCATTTCAACAGGTATTTAATATTTGCCATCTAGCCAATTCATCTTGTTACATTATGTCTTTTGATATCTATTCTTTACTAGCTACCATTAAACACATTTTACATATTTCTAATCACTATAGCAGTTACCTGAGGAAGTTAATGGAAGTCCCATTTTTCAGGTGAAAAAGATTCTGGTTCTGAGAGGTGATAAAATTTACCTGAATTCAGACCCTTTTGACATTCAAACACTTGTTTTTTTGTATTGCAGAGCAGCAAGACGGTGCTGACTATCTTTGCAAGGGAATCGACTTCACTCAGAAAATAGTGTCTGCTCATGCTGACCTGAGAGCAACATGAGACAATGGAAGCCTCTCTCCAAATTCTCCAGTTGGAGGCTGATTTGCTCCAGTTTCACTTGTCTCTTTGGATTCGTAAGCAGCATTGAAGAGAGTACATGAGGGGTCTAGAGGATACCTATAACCCTTAAGTTTTCCTTTCTACTAATTTCCGGTTAGGCTTAGGCAAGGAAGGGTAGACCACAATAAAGATGGCAGTAGCGGCTTCGTCATGGCAAACAGGCCGCCTTCCGTCAACAAGCGCGGCAATATTATGTAAGTTCCGGCCCGTCCGTTTCCGTCACTACTGTCCCTGGCGCAGCGGTGTACGGGCCTCTCTCCCCACTTCCGCCGCGGACATCCAGAGGTTGGTGAGTGGATTCAGGAAAGCGAGTCTCAGGGAATCCGATAGAATGTGGGGCCAGCGGCATGGAAAGGGAAGATGGGAAGCCCGCGGCTGTTGTCGCAGTTGTGACTGAGCCTCGGTTTACCCAGCGTTACAGGGAATATCTCGAGAAGCAGAAACTCTTGGATAGACAGCACCGTGTGGAAAAGTTGCCGGATGGCACCGTGGCGTTACCTGTGCTGGGAGAGGCCGTCCCTGAGCTGCACCTGCAGGAGCTGAGGAATCGTGTGGCTCCAGGCAGCACCTGTATGCTAACGCAGCTCCAGAGTGCTGTGCCTTCAAAGAGGGCCCAGGGCTGTGCACCTGCCCAAAGGCTGTGTCTTGAGGTGAGGCACTGGGTAGAGACCCGAGGAGTGCCGTGGTCAGCTCAGTTGGAGGCTGATTTGCCCCGGTCTTGGCAACGACATGGCAACCTGTTGTTGCTGAGTGAGGATTGTTTCCAAGCCAAGCAGTGGAAAGGTCTGGAACCAGCACTCTGGGAGACTGTGGCCTCAGCACTTGGCGTCCAGCGTTTGGCCAAACGAGGGCGGGTCTCACCGGATGGCACTCGAACTCCAGCAGTGACTCTCCTGCTGGGTGACCATGGCTGGGTAGAGCATGTGGATAATGGGATTCGATATAAGTTTGACGTTACCCAGTGCATGTTCTCCTTTGGAAACATCACTGAGAAGCTTCGGGTGGCATCGCTGCCCTGTGCTGGGCAAGTGCTGGTGGATCTCTATGCAGGGATTGGTTATTTCACATTGCCCTTCCTAGTTCATGCTGGTGCTGCCTTCGTCCATGCCTGTGAGTGGAACCCCCATGCTGTAGCTGCTCTGAGAAGTAACCTTGAGATAAATGGGGTAGCAGATCGGTGCGAAATACACTTTGGGGATAACAGAAAACTGAAGCTCTCAAATATTGCAGACAGGGTGAACCTGGGGTTGATTCCCAGCTCTGAAGAAGGCTGGCCCATTGCCTGCCAAGTCCTTCGACAGGATGCTGGGGGCATTTTGCATATCCACCAAAATGTGGAATCTTCCCCAGGGAAGAATCTTCAGCCTCCTGGAAGCAGTGAAATGGAAAAAGAGCATTCGCCTTATTCTCAGCAAATTATCACCAACCAATGGAAGAATAGAGCTACCAGGGATTCTAGGAGAAAAATGTTGTCAGCAGCCACTAAGCGAGAGTGGCAACAGTGGGCGGAATCTGCAGAAACTCGTATTGCCACTCTTCTTCAGCAGGTGCATGGGAAACCGTGGAAGACACAAATCCTGCACATCCAACCAGTGAAATCCTATGCTCCCCATGTGGACCACATAGTCCTGGATCTGGAATGCCATCCCTGTCCTCTAGTTGGCTAGTGAAGGTGGATCCTGAGACATGTGAATCTATGTGTGAGTGACCTTTAAATGCATTAGCTCAGGCTGGGTTCTCACCTACTTGTCTCCTGGTTATCTAATATCTTGTAGCCCTGAAAGCAGGCTCTAGACTAATCCAGATCACTGCATTTGTATCCAGTAACACACTGAGAATGAGCTATATATGTGGGAGAAGCAGTGTGGCTCATTGAAATGAGGCCCATCTGTGCACTCATGAATTCTGGATTCTGATTTCAGTTCTGTCTAACCCTGGGTACATGGCTCCAATATTCTTTTGGCCTTGAATATACTCATCTCACAAACTGAGGGTTTCTTTGCATGATCTCACATGGCTGTTATGTGAGGGCATTGGTTATTTTAGAGTGAAAGACACAGTGCTGTTTCCAGAATCACTCCAGCTACAATATGGAAAATTGACAGGAGTGGAGCCAGGATGGAAGGAGGGAGACAAGTGAGGAAGTTTGTGTGGTTGTTCAGGCATGAGGTGATGGTGGTTTGGACTAGGGTGGTAGCAGTGGGAGGTGGATGGATGAATTTGAGAAATAAAATTGATGGGACTAAGCAATGGAGTACAAATGAAGGCTTTAAGTGATGCAGCTTTATTATGATTGACTAAATTAGGGAGGGAAGAAGAGAAAAATTACTCTGGTATATTAACTCCATTCCCCTAGTATATCATTCCTAAATGAGTTGGGGTGAGTGGGGGAATGTTTTATATATTAGGTTTATTGTGGTAGAAGAAGGGTTAAGAATGACTGCTTTAAATCATAGAGAAAACTAGATTTCCAGCCTTAAGCTTGTGCAATAGTGCCAGTTGCTAGCTGTCTCAAAAGTTCGAATTAAAATCTTGGGTTTTTACAGGCCTCAGACTCCTTTTTCATCTTGCTTCCCTGGTCAGCAACATCAGGGCCAACATCAGCTATAGGGAATGTGAGCTATTCTGCAGTTTTTTTCAAGCCTCACCTTATTCTGTGCCTGTCTGCCATGATTTGTTTACTGTTGGAATGACAAATTGTAGAGAATCACTCTGTTTACTTTGGTGTTGACTAATTGCTGAAAATCACTTTTCAGGGCTTTTTTTAGGTGTACTTTGAAGCCATCTGGGCTTGTTTGCCTGATGAAAAAAGGATGGAAAAGTGTGGCTTTATCAGGATTATGACTGTACCTGGCTTGGCTGTCTGGGGATGGGCTGAACGCTTGTCTTTATCATGCAACAGTGGCAGTAAGGACAGGATTGGTGCTGTTTGTGCTATTCTGCAACTAAGTGCCTACTGTATATATGAGCCTCAGAAAATAAAAAATACAGTCCCCCTCTCCAAGGAGCTCACAACCTAGCAGCAGAAATACAACCTAGCAGATAAAAATACTCTAAGAAGTGGAATACAACAAGCTGCAGATGAGTCATAGCCTGCTGTAGGAGTGCAGAGGTGGGGGAGAGAAGTTCTGAGAATTGAGTGGGGAGTCTTCAGAAAGGCAGTGTTTGAATTAGCTCTTAAAAACTGGGAAAGATTTTGATAAGTGGAGTCAGGGTGGCAACATGCTAGTTGAAGAAAATTTTACAGGTGCGAAAGCTTGCTCAAAAAATGTATGGAGAAATTGTCAGGATTTTTTTTTTTAATTGCAGCCAAAAGTTACTCTACCTGATATTCTGAATAGTAAATTAACCAGATCAATGACATTATATAATAGAGTTGAGTAAAGAAAAACCAGGGGCGGAGTGGGAATGTTCACAGACCTTTCACCACCCAAAATGGCATTTTGAAATCAAAGTTCTTTTTCAGAGGCATCAGCTTTCATTAATGCTGCCAGTTCATGGAGGCGCTGTGGGAATAAAAACTCAGCGTTGAACTACATTATCCTTGACTCAGTATACCTTTATTCTTTCTGTCCTTTTTACCCTCCCCATCCTTCCTCTCTTACTTTCACAAATGTATTTGAGCGTCTGCTGTTCTGTGCCAGACATAATGGTAGCCATTAGAAATGAAATAACAAGACCAGACCTGATCTCAGACTCCATGGGCCTTATCCTCTAATGAGGGGGATAGGCATTAAATAATCACACACTGGATATAACATTTCATGTAACAACTCACATTCTAGTAAATGTCAGAAGGAGTGGTTCTTGGTGCAGTAGGAATTTGTAATAGGGCTCACCTTGTCAAGAAGATTGGGGTAGGCCTCCCCAGGAATGTGATGACTGAGCTGAAAGCTGAAAGGCAAGTAGGAATTCATGAGTGACCAGCACAGGGGAGTGCTTTCCAGGCCATAAGGACAGTGTGTGCAAGTGCCCTGTGGAGTTTGAGGGGATAAAACCAAACCAGGATGGATGGAGTGGAAAGCCTAAGAAGTGAAGGAGTGTTAATGTTGACGCAGAGGAAATGGAAATCAGATCATGCAGGGGGCAGTGCAGGCTATATTAAGAACATTATCCCAACAGCAGTGGGACATCACTGAAGGGTCTTCAGCACAGATGTGACGTGATTAAAAATGGGGGGTTTTATAAATGCATATTTTATCAGAATCCTGGTGTTTTAGTATCATTTTAAAGTATACTCTCAACACATATACAGAAACCCCTAATTCCTTTCTCCTAATCTGTCCACCCTCATTTCTAGCAATCATGGTGACATGAAACTATACAAGGAGTTAGTCTTGTACATACAGTTCATAGTCAAACATTTTTGCATCTATCTTCATGGGAAAAAATTCTGGCCTCATAGAATGATTTTACCCAGTTGGGACATATTCCCAATTGTGTAGAATTGTTACTACTTCTTCCTCGGTGTGGTAGAGTTGCCGAGTGAAGCCATCAGGGCTTGGAGTTGTCTTTGTGGGAAAATACATAAATACAAATTCAGTGTCTTTAAAAAGATAGGGTTTTCTGGGGTACCTTTCTTCTTGAATGAGCTTTGGTAGTTTGTGTCTTTCAAGGAATTTATCCATTTCATCTAATTTGCCAAATACATTGATTTACACATCTCTGACTTACAATGGGGTTACTACCTGATAAGTCCATCATAAGAGGAAAATATCAAGTCAATGCTTTTAATATACCTAACCTACCAAACATTATAGCTTAGCCTAGCCTACCTTAAACATCCTCAGAATATTTACATTAGCCTACAGTTGGGCAAAATCATCCAACAAAAAGCATATTTTATAATAAAATGTTGAATATCTCATGCAGTTTATTTGATACTATTCTATAAGTGAAAAGCAGGTTGCTTGTAAGTCTGTTGGTTGTTCACCCTTGTGACTCCGTGACTGGCTGAGAGCTGCAGTTCACTGCTACTGTCCAGAGTACCATACTGCATACTGCTAGCCCCAGAAAAGATCAAAATTCACAATTTGAAAGTATGAGTTCAACCAATGCATATTGCTTTTGCACCATCACATCAAAAAATCTTATGTTGAACCATTAAGTTGGAGACTGTATTTCCTTACTGTACTTTTAATAACTGTAGGATCTGTAGTGTTATTACCATTCTTATTGCTCATACTGATCATCTGTATCTTTGTTTTTTTCTGATTATTCTGGCTGGAGGGTATATCAAACTAGGTGACCTCAAAAAACTATCTTTTGGTTTCACTGATTTCCTCTTTATCTATTTTTTCTTCTAATTTTGGTACTAATATTTATTTTTCTGCTTGCTTTGGATTTCACTTTTTTCCCCCTTGTTTTGTAAGGGAAAAGCTAAAGTGATTGATTTTAAGTCCTTAAGGTAGGTATTTATTGTGATAAATTTCTCTGAAAGTACTATTTGGAGTCCCTCAGGGGCTCCATTTACACACACACTTGAAGTTGAACACACTATGATGCTGTGTTTGTTTTGGTTGTTTAGGGGGAATTGTTTTTTTTCCTGAGGCTGGTAGAGGAGTTTGTCTTCTTTCTCTTTGTCCTTTTGGGGAGTTTCTATTGCTATGTTTTCAAGTTCACTAATCTTTTATTCTGCAGTGTCTATAATCTGCCATTAAACCCATCCAATCTGCAATTTATCTCAGAAATTAGATCTATGTATGAAATATATTTCATTTTTAGAAGTTTGAGTCTTTTTAAATCTTGTGTCTCTACTTAACATGTTCCACCTTTTCTGTGCTATCTTGAACATATGGAATACAATTATAACAACTGTTTTTATGTTCTTGTCTAGTAATCCTATCATCTGTAGTTTCTGGGTCAGTTTTTATCAAATGTTTTACATTTCTCTTTCTGGGTTGGATTTTTCTGTTTGTTTTTGTGGGCGTTTTTTCATATACAACAATAGTATATTATACTGCAGTAATAGTACTGTAACTCCTTTCAGGTTCCCAGATCTGATTCGTGTGTGTGTGTGTCTTCCCCCCCCACCCCACACACACCACCAAACAATTCTCAAACACCAGCAGGCTATCCGAGAACTCAAATCTGATACTATTTGCATGGAGACAGCACCAGATTCCCCAGATTAAGGGTTCAGTCCTACAAAACCACCCTCCACCCTCCACTCCAGATGCCGGTCACAAGCCCCAGGCAGTTACCTGTGCTTCTGGCCTACCGGCTACAGATTGGAGGTTCCTATGACCTCCCCCTTAGGTTCAGTTAATTTGCTAGAACAGCTCACAGAACTCAGGAAAACACTTTATGTTTACCAGCTGAATAAAGGATATCATAAAGGATACATACTATGAGGCAGATGAAGAGATACCTAGGGCAAGGTCCCAAATAAAGTTGCTTTTATCCTCATGGAACTTAGGGCATTCTGGTTCCCCAAGCACAGAAGCTCTCTTCCACAGAGAAGCAGGATCCAAGAGAGTGATAAGCAATTAGGGGTTTTTGTGCAGGCCTCAGTGTATAGTCATGATTGACTAAATTATTGGTCATTGGCTGATTCAACGTCCAGCCCCTGCCCTTCACTGGGGGTTCAGGTTTCTCATTAAAAGGACAAGACACCCATTTCACCTTTAAGACTGCAATGTTTTCAGGAACTGGATGAAGACCAGATATACTTGGGAAATATGTATTTGGTCATTTCAAA